GGTGGGCTGCTGCCCTGTTCCCAGAAGCAGGGGGTAGAGCACAGGAAAAGAGGTACAGGCTGAGCCCTCATCTGTGCTGTGAGCTTTGTCAAGAGAAGGCAACCTCGAGAGTCAGCCGGGCACCCCCGCCCCCGCAATCCAGGCTCTGTCTCCATCTCCAGACTGGGGGAGTTGGGGGAGCCGGGGGGAGGCACCTCCCCCTCTGGAAGCCAGTGCTGTCCGGAGCCTTGTCTCCAAGCCCAGAGCTCCAGTGTCTGGTCAGGAGGGCCCTCAGGGCTGGGGCCCCCTCCCCACACACCCAGGACCTCAGGATCAAGGGCCTGGACTTTTTCCAGCTTGGGGAGCTACTGGGGTCCTTGGGACAGACCTCACAGCCCACAGACCGGGCTCTGGCCCACGGCTTGCAGCCCCTGCCTGGCCCCCAGAGGTAGCTGTTTTTGCTGCCTGCACTCAGTGAGGTGTGGTTTTATAAATGTTTTGACATTTAAAATCTGTGTTGGATACATTCGTTCTGTTTAAATAGTACCTGGCTGTGGTGACTCCGGGGAATCAGTTTGTCTTCTGGGCCCAGGCCCGTTGCCCGCCTTGTGCCCCCACCCAGCCCCCAGCCTGGCTGGGAGCCCCGGAAGCCTTCCCACAGCTGCCCCTCAGCCACGTCAGCACCTCACTGTCCTGCGGTGGACTCCAAATGGGAAGCAAAAGAGGGGGACAGCCCCCAGCGTCCAGACCTGCACCCTAGCCCGGCAGGCGCAGGACAGAAGGGTGCCTGGCGGGGGCAGCTCCCGGGAACCATGCGAGTGGACAACCAGTGATGGGCACTGGTGCCGGCCAGCGTGGAAAAGGCCGTCTTCCCAAAGGGCTGGGCAGCCCCCTCTGACATTTGTCCTCTAGTTTATCAGAGCCTTGTTCTAATGGAGCTGGAGGTGAACTGAGGCCGCCACCTCCTGGAAGCCGTCGAGTCCTCCCGAATGGGGCCTGGTACACCGTGGGAGTGGGCAGGAGGACCTTGGAGGCCTCGGCCAGAAGACAGAAGGACAGATGTCCCACTGGGAACAGGCCCAGGAGCGAACCCACCATGTTCCGGAAGCTCTGGCACTTTTGGGTGGCTGCCTGGTATCTGTGGCCACTGCCAGCATTCACAGCACAGAGCTGTGGCTGTCCTCACCTGGTAACAGTGTCACTGTCATGTTGTTGAGGCGGCCAGGACTCTCGACTGTGCTCTCGGGGCTGCAGGAAAACCCGGAAGAGGAGGCAGCAGGAGGGGTGGCCTGGAGCCCAGGGGACCCCAAATGCAGATGCCCTGGGATGGCCCAGGCTGCAGGCAGTGCAGGCAATCTCTCCAGGTGCAACCAAAAAGCCGCCTGGAATCTGAAGTTCAAAACGAGCATGAGGAGCAGCTGAGCAGGGACCAGGCGGACCAGCTGCCCCATCGCGGGGGCAGGAGCCGCAGGTGCTGACAAGCGAGGGCGTCAGCACACACCGTGATGAGAGAGCGGTTAAGAAAGAACGAAAATCAACCATGTCTGTGACCCACTTGAGGCTGTTGTTCCACAGCCATGAGGTCGTAGGAGCAGCCACGTGGGAGTCGCATCAGGGCCACTCGCAACCCCGCTCATTCCCGCCGGCCCACGTCCCCTCGCCGCTGTCATCCAGCGACCGGTTCTGTTCCTGTCGTGAGCGGCAGTGCCAGCCCCAGGAGGAGGCCCGGCCGCCCCCTTCCAGGAGGCCACGGCTGCTGGGCTGAGCAGGAGCAAAGGCTGGTCTCAGCCTGGGCCATCAAAGGGCCTGGTCAAGTCCAGCTGTGGCCACTTCTGAGCTGGTGACTTTGGCAAGCCCCTCGGCCTCTCCCAGACTCGGTTTCCCCAGATGCAGAGTAACATGGAAGGAGAGGAAGCAACAAGAAGCACCTTACAATGCTCTGAGGGGCAGTTGGGGGGCCGGGGGGAAAGGGTCTTTCATTTGTGTCCAAATGTGAGCTGACTACAAACAGAGCAAGGGATACAGGGCTCGGCTGTCCTAGAGAGAGGTTGTGTGGGGTGGCCGTGCATTCAGGGGCCACATCCATCGACGCTCCGTGTCCAGACCTGGGAGCAGAGAGCCTGGCTCCTATCCATAGCCGGACACCCCAGAGTCTGCTGTCTACCTGCTGTACACAGGCTGGACCCTGTGCAGACAACTCCCCGAGGTGCCGGAGAGTCTTCCAACCTCCTCCGAGCAGGGGCAGGGGAGCAGGTGGAGACTTGAGTCTGGGGATGGGGCCTGTGTCTGCCAGCCGCCCCTACAGACTGAGTGCCTCGTGCACTCTGGGTCCTGGGCCCCCAGCCAGCGGGGCAGGCGCCCAGGGTGTCCCCTGCACGAGGGTCTGACGAGCTGCCCTTCTCCGTGTCCCCACAGATCAATACCTTCATGTCTTTCGTGTTTCCCATGGTGGTCATCTCCATCCTGAACACCATCATCGCCAACAAGCTGACCGTCATGGTCCGCCAGGCAGCCGAGCAGGGCCAGGTGTGCACGGTTGGGGACCAGCACAGCTCGTTCAGTATGCCCATCGAGCCCGGCAGGGTCCAGGCCCTGCGTCACGGAGTCCGGGTCTTACGTACGTAACCGCTGGGCCCTCTGAGGGGTGGGGGGCAGCCAGGGGCCAGCAAAGCAGTGAGCACTGCTGCATTCATTCATCTAGTCATTCATTTTCCTATCCACTTATGGTTCATCCACTCACTCACCCATCCATCCTCACAGGCACTCACTCATTCACACATCCGTCCCTTCACTTATTCGTTCGTCCATCCACTCACCCACCCCGCTAGTCTCCTGAGCACCGGCTCTGCCTCAGGCAGCTTGCTCACGGAGCCAGGGCAGCAGAGGTGGGAGCACCCCAACACCCCACTGGGAGCATAGGCTCCACCAGAGTAAGCAAACACGCACTCCACACACGTGCAGACATGGAGCAAACACGCACTCCACACACGTGCAGACATGGAGCAAACACGCACACCACACACGTGCAGACATGGAGCAAACACGCACTCCACACACGTGCAGACATGGATGAGCATGAACAAGAACATAAAGCCACGTGACTAGATCTGGCAACTGCCATACTGTTTTCCACAGCAGCTGCACCCTTTTACATTCACACCCACAGTGGATAAAGGTGCTGACTTCTCCCCATCCTCGTCGGGGCTTGTTGTTTGTTTCTTTGGATAGCAGCCGTCCTGATGAGTGTGAGATGGTATCTTTGTAGTTTTGATCTGCATCTCCCTAGTGATTGGTGACGGTGAGCATCTTTTCATGGGCTATTGGCCATCCGTCTGTCTTCTTTGGTGAAACGTCTATTCGAGTCCTTTGTTGCCTGTTTTTGAGGTGGGCTTTATGTTTTGTTGTTGAGTTTTAGTTCTCTACAGATTCTGGATATTAATCTGTTACCTGGTATGTGATTTTCAAATATTTTATCCCATTCTGTGGGTTGCCTGTTTATTCTGGTGAGTGTCTATTGATGCACAAATTTTAAAAAGTTTCATGAAGTCCAATTTGTCTAATTTTTTCTTTTATTGCTTGTGCCTTTGGTAATATATCTAAGAAGTCATTGCCAAATCCAGTGTCATGAAGCTTTTGTCCTGTTTTCTTCTAAGTTTTAGAGTATTAGGTCTTACATTTAGGTGCTCGATCGATTTTGAGTTAATTTTTGTATACGGGAAGGGTACAACTTCATTTGCATGTGGATGTCCAGTTGTCCTGCACCATTTGTTGACAAGACTGTCCTTTCCCCGTTGAATGGTCTTGGCACCTGGTCAAAACCACCTGACCATGTAGGAGTGGGCGGCTTTCTGGGTCCTCTGTTCTGTGCCACTGACCTGTGTGTCTGTCTTTCTGCCAGCACCACGCTGCTTCGATTAGCTTTGTCGTAAGTTTTGAAATCAGGAAGTTGTGTCCTTCAGCTTGTTCTTCTTTCTCAAGGTTGTTTTGGCTATTTGGGGCCCCTTGAGATTCCATACGAATTTTAGGATGGGGCTTTCTACAAAATATGTCATTGGGATTTTTATAGGAAGCGCACTGAATGTGTAGGTCACTTTGGGTGGAACTGACCACTTAACAGTGTTAAGTCTTCCAGCCGTGGCCACGGGACGTCTCCCCTCCCTTCACTGAGGCCCGTGTCTCTGTGCCAGGCGCCGTGGTCATTGCCTTCGTGGTCTGCTGGCTGCCCTACCACGCACGGCGCCTCATGTTCTGCTACATTTCAGATGAGCAGTGGACGCCGTGAGTACCAGGGAACTGGCATGGGGGGGGTGGCGCGAGGCTCCTGCAGGGCTGGGGGTGCTCCTTAAAACAGGTGGGCGTGAGAGGCGGGGGCACAGAGAGGGGCAGATCAGCGCAGAGGTGTGGGTCAGGTGTCCCCCAGCGGGCCCTCGGGTGCAGCTGTGACTGAGCTGGGAAAGGAAGGAGGCCCTGCAGGGACAGACACTGGGAAGCTGCTCGGCGGAGGACAGGCAGCGGCAGGAAAGGAAAGCAGGTCTTAGGAGAGTCCGTGCTGAGAGAGGCTAGAGATGTCAGGAGATCGACGAGGGAGGCCTGGCTCTTCCTCACGTGGGAGGAGAGGTGGCAGCTGGAGGGTCCCCTAGACCACCCTGGGCTGGAGGAGTAGCTAGGAGGCTGCTCGGGACTCAGAGAGAGCCACACCCACACGGTGATGCATCGCAGCAGAAGGACTCACCCCAAAATCCTCAAAGCCCAGGAGCCCAGGCGCAAGCTTCCAGAACCCTCCCCGGCTAACTCCCCCAGAACGCTGTACCCCAGGAAGCTTGGCTGAGACCCAGCACCCAAGCTTTCTCCTGGGTGCCCCTCCCTGGCAGGCACCCAGTTCCAGGCTTCCAGAAGGAAGCAGGCACTCAGCACAAACCACATTGTTTGGAGGCAGCTTAGGCCCAGGGAACCCCTCCTCCCAGGGGGTGGTGGAGATGCCCCGAAATCCACGTTCCCAGGTGGGTGAGGCAGCCTCGCCAGTGGGCCTTCTGAGATGGCACCCTCAGGCCCACTGCGCGAGCTCTTCACACCTCAGGGCTGCCAGCTCCAAGGGTCACGTGTTTTCAAAGTGATGAGGAAAGTTGAGGACAAATCTAGGACAGATGAAAAGTTATAGGGAGCAGAGCCGGCCCCAAATAAAGGGTTTCTGAGTCTCTGGGCTGCCTGGTGCTGACGTGAGCTGCATGAGAGGGGTGAGATCCCTGTGGGTGGAGGCAAACAAGCCAGGGCAAGGTGACAGCTGTGCTGGGGGCCTGGTAGGGGACCTGCCCTGGCTGTTCAGTTGAGGCCAGGGACCAGCTGAGCCCTGCAGCCCTGGGGGCTGGGATTCTGCACACGGAGGGGCAAGCAGGTGCTTCAGGGAGAGGTGGGGACTGGGGCGGGGACAAGGGTGGCCATGCCCTGCTAGGAGGGCGGCCACTTGTCACTCGGCTCGGCTGACCCGTGCCAGATGGGAGCAGGTGTCGGAACTTCCAACTTCTCAAGAGAAGCCAGAACCTGGCATGTGCGATGAAACGTCCCCAGGTCAAAAATGTATAAGTAGTTTGTGAAGTGTTGTCCCAAGCCAGCGTGCCTGCCGGCAGCCGCGGGCACAGTCCGAGCGCCCTGTCCCACCCCAGGTTCCTCTACGACTTCTACCACTACTTCTACATGCTGACCAACGCCCTTTTCTACGTGAGCTCCACCATCAACCCCATCCTGTACAACCTCGTCTCCGCCAACTTCCGCCAGATCTTCCTGTCCACCCTGGCCTGTCTCTGTCCCCTGTGGGGGCGCAGGAGGCGGAGGCCGGCCTTCTCAAGGAAGACCAACAGCGTGTCCAGCAACCACACCTCCAGCAACGTCACCAAAGAGACACTGTATTAGGGCTGGGGAGGGCAGGGGA